TAGGGTTTAGGGTTTAGGGGCGCGGCTCCCTAAACCACCCTAAACACGCCCAAACCGGCTACAGGGAAACCCAAGACTACATTGGACGCTCCTTATAATTCTAAACAGTATAAGGGGCCCAAAAACCCTATTCCAATTATTCTACGGGTTTGGGGACTTGAATAGGGGGATAAGGCTTTGAGCCTAGGGTTTAGGGCCTGACTGGAACTGCCGCTCGAGAAAGACGGAACCTCAGGAGCCCCAAACCCTAAACCCTACCTAGAACCGCCTAGAACCCCAACTAGGGTTTAGGGTTTAGGGTTTAGGGTTTAGGTTTAGGGTTTAGGGTTTAGGGTTTAGGGTTTAGGGCAAGTACCCCTCGAATGTACCCTGAATACCCGCTCTTACAAACCGGGAAAGCCACGAAGAGAAGGATCAACGGGTAGTGCTGCGGGACCTCTCCAAAATCCCCCCATATAAGCCCTATAGCTCTTGAAGAAAGAAGCCTTACAAGAACCCTTAGATAAAAACTGAAACGCTTGAACGCAAAAACCGAAAAAAAACTGAAACACTTGAACGCAAAAACCCCTTCGACGGGGACCTAGAACGGAATTCCAGAGGCCAGAGGCACCTGAAAGCAGCTTTTCCAGCCGATTCCTTTGTGACCCGTGACGCCCTGACGGCCTTTCCTGGCAGGCTAAGTGAGGGTTTAGGGTTTAGGGTTTAGGGTTTAGCGTTCGGGCTTAAAGGTGATTTAGAGGGCATCGTACCATACAATAGCACATGGACTACAGGAGGATACGATATTATTTCAGACCTCTATACCGCATAGCTATGGCTTCCATCATTACATTCCTTGTTAAACATAAACCCTAACCCCTAACACCATATACATGTATAATATGTATATACATACATATACCGGTCAAGGCTTTGGATCGCTGAGGGTCTTGGGACATAGGCCATCAGTATAGGGACCGTATTCGACACCAAAGCGTTCAATTATACTACCATGGTGTGTGTGTATATAGATGCACATACTACACACATGTAGATATGTGAATATATACACCCATGGCAGGGCAAGACTCACATAAAGTAATCATGCCGTTGACAACGAAAACAATAATTAGTGATGTTTGAAAGATAAACCGAAACATAAATGACCCAGCCGTTGAAGAGCTCGCCACAGCCCCACATCGGCCCTCGGATTTTAAGCCCTTTAGCCTTATGCGAACATCAAAAAAGTTGCTTTACAATGACCGCTCGGATTTTCAAGTTAGCGTAACTCAAAATTTGTCAATGCCTAAAGGATCACCTGGCTATCCCGACCCAATGCATGCCAGTAGGCAATCATTTCGCTTCCAACAGAAACGCGTCACTGAGGCTCGGTATTTGGATTCAGAAAGTTGTTTATGCTGGGTAATGGAAGGATGCCATCTGGTTTTCAACTTGCTCTGCACGGGGTGCAGATCAACATTGCGTGGTGCCTTATTTCCTTGCTGTCCGGGTCTCTAGTATTTGTGTGCCCTGTCATGTCGAAACGTACCATGTATCAGACGAGGTCCATGGATACTACCAGGATGGGCTAGGGTTCTTGCTTTCCCAGCTACAAAGTTGAAAGTTTCAGAACACGGTTTAGGGCTTAGGATTATTTGACAAGGTTCTCTCGAACTGTACGTAAGGCTTCTTTCAAGGGCTTTTATTGGGTTCTAGGGAACAAAGGTTTCAGGTTTTATCCCTAAACCCTAAACCCTAAACCCCAAACTCTAAACCGTTGGTTTAGGGGTTCACAGCTTAGGGCCCCAGTTTCGGGTATGAAAGCCCTGCGCAATGGACCCTTTGCACCCGAGTCGCTTTGAGCTGGCGTTGATGTCGCAAAGTGCTCGGATGTCCTGACATCTACCACTAAGTTGTGTAGGTGCGCTGTATTTTTGAAGGGGGTTCCTTCATAATAAGGATTCTATCGGTGCGCCTTATTTGCGACAGAAGCTCCCGTGCAGATATCAAAGGGCTTTGGGGTTTAGGGCTTGTGAAGGTCAGTGATTTTAGACTACTTGTACCAGCAGGTGTCGATTTCAACGACTTCCTGTATGACTCTGTATTGTGGATGCATAGGGTTCTACATGACGGTGAACCAAGAGGGAACATAATTACAGCTAATCCGACAGCGGTACCGAGAGCCTAGGTATCTTCTCGTTTCACTTCGTTTTGCAATCTGGAATTTCTGAGAGCGACTGAGGATAATGTAGAGGCCTTTAATAATCAGAATAGGGTTTTGGTGTATCTGTTCATAAACTTAGAATAAGGAATACCAACATAGTATTTGTAACTGTTGGGCCTCTATGTTATCTGTGATAGAGAACGCACCGGTCCCTAAACCGCGCGCCCCAAACCCCCACACTTAGTTGCTTAAGGGTTCAAGACCTTTCAAAGGATCCTAAGTACTGTTATGGGGAATACTCCCCCAAGTCATAATACGAAATCCTACTGTAGAAACCCTACATTCTACCATATAGGTACTTGAGACCCTTTAACCCTAAACCCCTAAACCTTAAATCCCAAGACCCTAAACCCCTAAACCCTAAACCGTAAATCCCAAAACCCAAAACCCCTAAATCCCAAAACCCCTTCACACCGATCAATCGTCGTATGGGCTGTCCTCCACCTCTAGGCCACACTCGTTGTTGACCTCGGGTCTTCCAATTGACTGGGCTTTGAAGTAACCAAGGAGAAAAAAGTATAGACTTTTATTTAATGATGGTTCCTTTAAGGAACAGGTCACAAACAAAGTATTAAAGTATGGTACTCCAAAGCCCGGTATTGGTACTTAGACCCCAAAGGACATAGACATGGCTTTGGGGGGTTTTGGGTTTCGGGTTTATAAGGGTAGAGGCCCTAAAGGATGCAGACATGGCTTTGGGGGGAAGGGGGGGCAGGTGCCAATGTTGGGGCTGTAATTATTATTAGAAAAGGGTCTTGGTGTAGAATACACTGTAACTGTAATAAGGACCCCCCCCCCCACACAATAAACAAAATAGTATTGGTAATTATTTAGGCTCCATATTACATCATTAACTTATATGGGTTTAGGGTTTAGGGTGTAGGTCCGAAAACAAGGGGTGCCTTATTTCGGGTTCCTGAGAAGAAGGATCCAACTATTTAGGGTACTATGTTAGGTTCCCCTATTTTCGGAAATCCCACTTTCAACCTAAACCCTACAGCAGACTCCTTCGCAGGGTTTTAGTGGCACACGGCTTTTAGCTTTGCCAGTGGTTTACCAACTCAAATGAAGAACGACATACCCGTTTCAATGCGAAACGGCGAAATGCGCGCTGCCGAGTGAGATCCGAGAGAACCTGGCAGAAAGAGTTCAGCCCAAGACACAAAAAACATCCCCTTAAATAAGGAATATACCTTAAATTATAGGGGCCTTATATCTCATGATTTAAGCTATAGTCCTTAATTAGGGGTTTGGGTTTACGGCCCCTACATTACACCACATCCCTATAAGTCCTTGAAACCCTCAGCGCCCAACGCCCTCGGGACCTTCAGGGTGTAGCGATGTAGCAGCAGAAAGAGTCGACCATGGGGTTAAGGGTTTAGCTGCTCGGCAGCGTAGATGTGATTTTGTACATTGGACGCACAAACTCAAACCTTTCAAGCCTTAGATCTAAGCCTGCTTTACGTTTCCGCCACTAAACCGCAAACCCCAAACTCTAAAACTCTTATTAGAACCCTTAAATGATCCCTTTAAGACCCTATACCATCCTTAACTTAATCCTAAACTCCCCTGAAACGTAGGGCTCTATGGCTTTGCCCCGAGCAGCCGAGAAGAAGTAGCTTCCGCTCTCTTCGTGGCGGAGGTGAAGCTCAAGACTCGGACGAGCCTTCTGGAAAGATGGCTTGGGTTCTAGGGCTTCTAGGGTTCAGGCTTTAGGTTCTAGGGCTTCTAGGGTTAAGGGTTTAAGTTCTAGGTTTTAGGGCTTGGGGTTTAGGGTTTAGGTTCTAGGGTGTAGGTTCTAGGGTTAAGGGTTTAGGTTCTAGGTTCTAGGGCTTCTAGGGTTAAGGGTTTAGGTTCTAGGGTGTAGGTTCTAGGGTTTAGGGTTTAGGTTGTAGGTTTTAGGGCTTGGGGTCTAGGGTTTAGGTTCTAGGGTGTAGGTTGTAGGGCTTAGGGTTTAGGTTCTAGGGCTTTTAGGGTCAAGGGTTTAGGTTCTAGTCGGTTCTAGTGTGTAGGTTCTAGGGTTTAGGGTTTAGGTTCTAGGTTTTAGGGCTTGCGGTCTAGGGTTTAGGGTTTAGGGGTTTAGCGTTTAGGGCTCGCAATCTAGGGTTTAGAGTTTAGGGTCTAGGGGTTTAGGGGGTTTACGGGTTCAGGGTTTAGGGGTTTCTGGTTTAGACGTTGAGGGCCCAAGGCTTAATCTGACGGGATTTGGGCGCTGCTTGGACGCCCTCCTGATATTGTTTAAGTACTTGGAGGATCATGGGACTTAGTAAGTAAGGTTATAAGTCCCTTAATTGGGGGTTATAAGTAAATACAAGTATAGCAGCCCCTAATTATAACCCTACTTACTAAGTCCCATGATCCTCTAAGTAGGCTTGGTAAGATGGGCTTTCGGGATGAAGTGAAGGGTGTTAGCGAATTCTCTAAAGAAGCTAAAAAAAAGCCTAAATACTTGCCAACATTTCCCTTGGGGATATAGACCCTCTCAATAAGGACCCTAAGCCCTAGACCCTAAACCGTTCCCTTTTAAGAGAGCCAGAAGTTAGGGTTCAGAAGGGTCCCCTTTAAGGGGTCTCCCTCATACTACCTAGGAAGGCCTTCTATGGTCGACCTGGACCCTAAAAACTCACCTTCTCTGGGCCCCAGGCTCCTTGTTATGATTTCTTCTTTAAATTTCCTTAAACAGGTTGCGTTTTTTTGGGCCACTGGTAGAGCGTTTAGGGCTGTGGCCAAGCTTAGGAGGATAGAATGAGGAGAGTAAGGCGGAGGAGGAGCGGTGAATATATATATATATATACATATAATATTCTTTGAGCATCACCAAAGTGAAATCAATGAACGCAGGGCAACACATGCTTCGATTAGGATCTTTAGAAAGGTTGAGATGTTCGGTACTTCGGGGAACGTGGCAATGACGCTGGCGACAATATGTACAGAAAGCCCACAAACAATGATGGCACAAATACATGATCATCCCAAAGGGCCCAAGCTATAGCATAGTATATACTTTTGGGGCCCAAATACCTACAAAGTTGCTACCATATTAATACTTGGACCCTTTGGGATCGTAGCAGGGTGATGTGGCTGTGCCAGAAAGGAAAAGCTCTGCATCAGGAGTGACTGTTGCAACGGCCTTGTTAGTGGCAGTGGGTGTTGAGAGTATAATTTCGTCGATTCAATAATCTACTGACCATACTAGGGACTATAAGGGAATCGTCGTCGTCGTCGTAGTATTAGTAGTAGTAGCAGAAGTAGTAGTAGCAGCAGCAGAAGTAGTAGTAGTAGTCGTCGTAGTAGTAGCAGCAGTCATAGTAGTAATTTGTGATAACTGCCCAAGCCCCTCTAAAACATGGACCACTATTGAACCTTGAACTCTAGATCCTGAAACCGCTAACATCACTGAAACCTAAACCCTAAAACCATACACCTCTAAACCCTAAAAATACTAAACCGTACCGTATGGTAAACTATAACCGACACCTCAAACACTAAACCCGCCGCCTCCTCAGGGTACTTGTTGTCATCTGCGTTCTGTACCAATTCCTGGGCTTCGCAAAGGCTTAGGCGAAGTATCATGGGCAGATGCAATAAAGGCCCTTCGAATGGACGTAACTTTGCTGCCGGTACAGCTGCTGCTGCCTACTACTACCACCACTGCTACTACTACTACTACTACTACTACTACTAGTACTACTAGTACTACTAGTACTGCTAGTACTACTAGTACTAATAGTACTACTAGTACTACTAGTACTGCTACTACTACTACTACTACTACTACTACTACTACGCTACTACTACTACTACTACCACTACTACTATTACTACTACTACTACTAGTATATATACTACTA